AACTAGACTTAAGAACCAATTTAGAAAACTCATCCTTACAATTTTGTTTCTCTAGAACCACTCCTGGTACCAAATGTCTTAGGCTGGGTTCTCTAGAGGAGCAAAACCAGTAAAGTGTATAAACATATATATAGAGAGAGATTATATCAAGGAAACAGCTCACTTGATTGTAGAGGCTAGAATGTTCCAAGTCCGTGGATCAGGGTAGAGGCCTCTCCCAAGTCACACAGCTGCTGAAGCTGGCAAGCCCAAGACGGGCAGGTCAGAGAGCAGGGCTCCAGCTCACAGGCTGTGCAGATCAACAAATCCCAGGTTCGGCAGATACGCTGACAGCTCAAGTCCCAAGAAGCAGAGATGAGATGACAGGAAGCAGCCGCAGGATCCAGAGAGCGCAAAAAGCCAGAATGTCTGCCTATATACAGGTGCAGGCCACACCCCCAAGGAGAATCCCTTTCATCTGATTGGCTACTCACAGTATATTCAGTCATGGGAGTGATTACATTAAAACACTGAGAATAACGGCCCAGCCAAGTTGACACACAATCTTAACCATCACACCTAGTATACTGAAAACCATAAAACATTACTGAAAGAAATCAAAGAAGATCTAAATAAATGGTAGGACATCCTGTGCTCATAATATTGCTAATATTTACTATATTAAGACTTAATATACTATAATATATTCTAATATTAATATATATAATATTAAGACAATATTGTTAAGATGTTAATACTAACTAAAGCAATTTATAGATTCATTGCAATACCCACCAAAATTCCAACAGCCTTCTTTGCAGGAATGGAAAAGCCATTCTTATACAGAATGACATCTGTAGTCATCGAGTCAATTCCAACTCAGAGTGACCCTACAGAACAGAGTAGAACTGCCCCAAAGGATTTCCAAGGCTGTAAATCTCTACAGACACACACTGCCACATCTTTCTCCCATGGAGCAGCTAGTGCATTCAAATCACCAACCATTCAGTTGGCAGCCTTAACCACTGAACCACCAGGGCTCCTATGGAATGACAAGGGGTACCAAAATAGCCACAGCAAACTTGAAAAAGAAAAACAAAATAGGAGGCCTCATAGTTCCTAATCTCAAAACATAATATAAAGCTTTATTATTGTTGTTAGGTGACGTTGAGTCAATTTAGACTCATAGCAACCCCACGTGATAGTGTAGACCTGCCCCATAGGGTTTTCTAGGGTGTAATCTTTATGGGAGCATATCATCTGGTCTTTCTCCCACAGAGCTGCTGGGTGGGTTTGAACAGCCAACCTTTCGGTTAGCGGCTGAGTGTTTAACCTTTGTGCCACAAAGTCTCAGTAATCAAAACAATCTGGTACTGCTATAATGATAGATACATAGATCAATGGAATACAACTGAGACTTGCTGAAATAAATGATAAATGGTGCTGGGCCAACTAGATTTTCACAAAGGAAAGAAAGAACCTGGGTCTATACCTCACACTATATAAGAAAACTATCTCAAAATGGATCATAGACCTAAATGTAAGCACTAAAACCATAAAACTCTTAGAAGAAAGATACGAGTAATGCTTCAGGACCAAGTTTTTACCAATGGATTCTTAGATATGACACTGAAAGCACAAGCAACAAAAGACAGATTATTAAAATTAAACCACAGTGATATACCACTTGCACCCACTGAGATGGCTACGATTTAAAAAACAAAAACAACAGGTGTTGGTGATGATGTGGAGAAATTGGAACCCTTACCCATTGCTGGCGAGAATGTAAAATGGTGTTGCGACTGTGGAAAACAGTTTGGCGGTTCCTCAAAAAGTTAAACATAGAATTACCATAAGATCCAGTAATTCCACTCCTTGGTATATACCTGTCATGGATTGAAGTATGTCCCCCATAAAATGTGTGTATGAATTTGGCTGGGTCATGATTCCCAGCATTGTATGACTGATTTCCCTATGTGTTGTAAATCCTATCACTATGATGTAATACAATGGATTATCAGCAGTTATATTGATGAGGTCTACAAGATTAGATAGTGTCTTAAGCCAATCTCTTTTGAGATATAAAAGAGAGAAGTGAGCAGAGAGACATGGGGACCTCATACTACCAAGAAGGCAGTGCCGGGAGCAGAGCACATCCTTTGGACCTGAGGTTCTTGCACTGAGACACTCCCAGACCAAGGGAAGACTGACACATCACAAGGACCTTTCTCCAGTGCCAACAGAGAGAGAAAGCCTTCCCCTGGAGCTGATGCCTTGAATTTAGACTTGTAGCCTACTAGACTGTGAGAGAATAATTTTCTCTTTGTTAAAAGCCATCCGCTTGTGATATTTCTGTTAGAGCAGCCCTGGAAGACTAAGACAATATTCAAAAGAAATGAAATCAGGAAAAAAAAAAAAAAACAACAGATACGTGTACATCAATGTTCACTGCAGCACTATTCACAATAGCCAAAAAATGGAAAGCACCTAAATGTCCAGGAAGAGATCAATGGATAAACAAAATGTGGTATATCCATACAATGAAGTATTACTTTGCCGTAAGGATAAATGAAGTCCTGGTACATGCTACAACATGGATGAATTTTGAAAACATTATGCTGAGTGAAACAGGTCAGTCACCAAAGGACAAATATTGCATGATTCCGTTTATATGAACTATGTAGAACAGGCAAGTATACGGAGATCAAAGTTAATTAGCGGTTACCAGAGGTGGTCTGGAAGAAGGGGAAAAGGGGGAGTCATTGTGTAGGGGACAGTGAGCTTCTGTAAAGGGTGATGGAAAAGCTTGGAAACAGATAAAGGTGATGGTTGAACAACTTGATGAATCTAATTAATGTCACTTAATTAGATATGTGATAAACACTGAAATGACAAATGTTTTGTTACAAATATATTTACCACAGTAATATTGAGTGATTGATTGTGCTGCAGTGATTTACTTAATATGGCCCTTCTAGCCATTGTCACTGTGACTCCTACACAATGATTAGGTGGGACTGTGCAAATAAGGTGTCTGTGGCCCACCAAGGGGATTGGACAGCCTGCTAATTATGCAAATAAGGTGCATGGAACCATTGTGGAGGTGGGACCATGCAAATAAGATGTATGGAACTCTAACAAACAGATTGGTCAGTTTTGCCATCCCACTAGGCTTAAATGGTGCCAATGCCAGAGGCAGAGAGGGGACCTCACTACCACCAAGAAGAAGAACTGGGAGTGGAGTGTGTCCTTTGGACCTAGGTCCCTGTGCTGAGAACCTCCTAGACTCAGGGGACAGAGAGAGTGGTAACACCAGAGACAGTGAGAAGCAGCAGCAGAGAAATGGTGGCAGCAGAACAGGACACCAGCACGACACAGCGTGGTGGGCTTCCTGGCCCATGGAGTGAGGCGCCTACAGTTGGCATGCCAACCCAAGGAGTGAGAGAGCTGGGCACCTTCAGGCAGGAGGCTTGCTGGCAGAATGGGGTGCCTCTGGGCACTTATTGGTGGAGCTAAAGAGCTTTGTAACACTTGCCCAAGCAGGGCAGAGGTTAGGCTGAGGCTGAAGGGCCAACAGCCGAGAGAAAGGCCTGACTGCAGGCACCGCTGAGAAGCTGTCCTAACCGAAAAACTGTATCCTGAGTCATTCCTGATCCTGAATTGTAACCTGTCACTTCCCTAATAAACCCCATAACTGTTGAGTATAGTCTGTGAGTTCTGTGTGGCCATTACAAGGGATTAAATTGAACCCAGCAGAGAAGTACAGAGCGCCGTGGGAGGGATGGCTGGTGTTAGAACTGGTAAAAAGTTTGGAGAGAAGAGGTATGTCTGACCTCCGCCTCGTAGGAATCAGCTTTGGGCTGATGTTGTTGATCTTGAGTCTCTCTCCTCCTCCCCCGAAGTTAGATGAGGAATTCTGACACTGCCACTTTTTTTTTTTTTTTAATATATATAAAAACCCGTTGCTGTCAAGTACATTCCGACTCATAGTAACCCTATAGGACACAGTAGAACTGCCCCATAGGGTTTTCAAGGAGCGCCTGGTGGATTTGAACTGCTGACCTTTTGGTTAGCAGCCATAGCACTTAACCACTATGCCTCCAGGGTTTCCTTAATATATATATATATATATATGTACACATGTGGTGCAGTGGTTAAAGAAATCGACTGCTAACTGAAAGGCTGGTGGTTTGAAGCCACCAGCAGCTCCGCGGGAGACAAATGTGGCAGACTGCTTCTCTGCTTCCATAGAGATTTACAGCCTTGGGAACCCTATGGGGTCGCTATGGGTCGGAACTGACTGAATGGCAGTGGATTTTGAGTTTTTTAGTTGTTTAAGGCAGGAGGGTAAATCCAGTCCCTGTTACTCCACCTTGACCACCTCCTTTAGTGCTAAGATTTTGTAAGAATATGGTGAGCTTTGGTCTAAAATCAGTGAGGTCAGACAAAACTAGGAGAGCACATCTGAAAGTAATAAAATGGAATTTCTTCATAAGAGTAATCTGAGGTAATTGGTGCAAGTTATTGAAGCTTTTCCATGAAGAGGATTTGATTTATTCAAAAGACCTGTATTGTATCTATATAATTACACGAACACATAATTTCAGAAAATGCAATCAAATTCAACCTAAAATTGGGTCAGTCATTTATGCAAATACTGCACAGAATGGTTCATGTGTGGTTGCTGTCAGCTGTACCCTTGGTCTGTGAGGTGCCTTTCAAGGAATGAGGATATTCAGTATGCTTTTCTGTATATTTCTAAGCAAGACTAGTATTGAGCACAGTAGGAAATCCCATTCATGTTTGATGAATAAATGCATTGGGTATTGGAGGAGTGGGTATGATTTTCATGGGCTTCCCTCACTCAAATTCATTCAACTTTATCACTGTGGTTCTCATTTCTGGCCGTACTATGGATTCTTCTGTGAAGTAGAATGCTATCCACCCATTATTATCAGAAAAGTATAGTAAACAAAGGAAGCATACAACTAAAAATATCTTTCTAGAAGATGAATACGTACTTTTCGTTGGTAAATACATAGGTAACCACATCCTTCACAGCTGCAAGTAAGGCACCCACTACAAGCGCACAAATACCTGGAAAATATAAAGGAAACAACAGAAAATGAAAGCTCTCCAGAGTGTGATAAATCCTAGAACTGACTTTTAATGAGATATTTGGGTCAATGATTTAAGAAATGCAGTAATTCAAATAGTGTTTCTTCTTGTCTATGAAAGAGCAACTGAGGTCAGATGATTCCGATTACTTTTTCTAAGCGAGACTCAAAGAAAAGATACTCAATAAAGTCAGTACGATCAGAATCTTTTCTAACTGCTCAGATCCCAGAACATTAAAACTACCAGAAAGAGCAGAGATTTCAAAGCTGTATGGTCCAGGAACATGAAGACTTGGTCACATAGAACTTTGGTCATAATGTAAATCTGCATAAACATAAACAATTGCCTTTGAAATGATTTCAGTAGTACCAAGCTTAACATTATTTAGTTGCTGCATAGTAATAAAGAAATCATAACTAGAAACTTTATTTAACTGAGAAAACTGTAAACAAAATAAAGAAACATATATAAACTAGAGGTTTCATTTTAGTTTATGTATGTGAGTCAATTCCTAGAGAAATTCTGATATGTATATTTTAATTCATCACACTAAACTCAATGTGATGCCAGGCAGTAGAACTGCTCTACTCACCTGCACACAGAAGAACAGTGATGCAGGAGTGCTTTGCCTGTTCCACATTCCCTGCCCCCAGGGCACTGCCCACTTGGACACTGGCTGCCACACCAAAGCCAAGGGGCACCTGAGAATAGTAACAAATCACAATGAGAAGTAAGAGGACCTGAAAATTAGAGTGTTTTAGTACACTAGGAGTACATGGAAACTCTAGACAGAGCCAGAGACCTGGGTTCTAGAACTGGTTCTATTAATCCTGGCTGTCTGACCAATTGCTCACGCTTGCTGACAATCAATTTCTTCACTGGCCGAGCAGTATAACTAACCGCTGCTCTGCCTGCTGCCTGTATCAAATGTTTCACAGCAGAATCTCTTAATGAAGCTGGATTTGAGGGCAAAACATCTTCCTTACTGGCTAAACACCGAATATTAAGATTTAATTTAACCTAGCTACATCTACGAAAAAAAGATTTCATTTATTAGAAATAAAATATGTAAATAATTTATAAAAATTAAATGAACCATGTGAAAAAGCACTGAGGGCAAAGACTGGCACACTGTAGAAACTCAATAAATGTCAATCAAATCTCATTCTACAACATCTCACGTGTCCAGCATGGTGGGACAGATGAAACATTCCATATGCCTGATCATACAGTAAATTAAAATATATCCCCTCAAATACCAAAACTTTATTTGAACTATTGCTTATGGAAATCTAAAGCTATAAGCATCTTTGCTTCTTAAACAGAACATCATTCAACCTTCAGGGTCATCCTTATGACCCCCTATTATTACGCTGTAACACAGTGCTGCCCACAGGGGCTGTTTGGGTTAACATGGGTTGTACACACAACTGTGTTTTCAGCTATTGTGTCTTCTTTTAATAATTTATACATAAGCTTTAACTTCTCATTTTTACTAAAAGCAACAGCATTCTCCCAACAGCCTTCTAATTTCTATAGTTTTCAAAATTAGCCTAAGTTGAGGTGATAAAAATATGGAGTAAATTGTTAAGATTTAACAACTTAAAAAACAGTAGACTTGATTATATAAAAAAGTAAAACATTTTTATGCCCAAAGTATACATAATTGGCTTCCACTTCAAGATGACTGACTGACTCCCACGTACCATTCCCTTCCAAACCACCATTAAATTATCAGTTGCTGTTGTTAGTTGCTGCTGAGTTGGCTCCAACTCACAGCAACCCCATGTATATCAGTAAATACACTTAAAGAAAAATAAAATCATTAACGCTGAGAATAAGAGAGCAGACCCAAAGACTGACAAGCTTCTAGAAGAGAGAAAGCTGGTGCTATCATACAAACAAAAAATTAGTTGCCATCTAGTCAGTTTCAACTCATGGCAACACCATGAATTGCAGACTAGAACTGTACTCCATAGGGTTTTCAGTGGCTAATTTTTCAGAAGTAGATTACCAGACTTTTCTTTTGAGGTACCTCTGGGTGAACCTGAACCTCTAACCTTTTAGTTACCAGCTGAATGTGTTAACTATTCGCACCACCCAGGGACTCGGGTGCCATCATAAAACCCATTGCTATTGACTCATAGCAACCTTATAGGACAGAGTAGAACTTCCTCATAGGGTTTCCAAGTAGCAGCTGGTGGATTCAAACTGTCAACCTTTCAGTTAGCAGCCAAGCTCTTAACCATTATGCCAGCCAGGTACTGGGGTATAACTACAGGAAGCCACAGTCCTGAATGTAAATGGGAGAAGGCTGAATCATGTTCATTCTTCCCAGTGAAGCCCCAGAGAGGCTTGAAGTGTCAGGTTCATCAGAGAAGCAGGGATAAGACAGTAATCAGTGAGCCTCACTAAAGGACTATAAACAGAGGAGATGGACCACATCGTCTACCTAGTCCTCTTCCTCAGAATCAGTGCACACAGAAAAACTGGGCTAAAATAGAAGAGCAAAGCTTGAGAGCTCCATGGGGGACCTTGCTCAGAATAAAGCCCTGCTTGTTTCACCTTAGGGGAGGAGGGTACCTGGGGGATAGGGGGCACCAGTAGTTTGAGACTGCCTGCTGCCTGCCCATCACCTATAAGCCCTAAATTGAAGACAGTCAGTTGACATGCACTACCTTTGTACTGAGCTCCCACTGGCCCTGCCATTCAGGGGAGAGTTCTGTTAGAGAAAAATACCCAAATAACAGGGCAGGAGAGCCATGCTGGCCATTTATTTTATAAGTCAATGAAGAAATTCATCCATAATTATAAGTGGATCACCAGAGCTCTGAGGACAACAAGCACACAAAACCAAAAATGATCAAGATAAATAAAAGATCAATTGACCCAGAGGAAACAAAATAGATAATTCAAAGAACAGAAAAGAATGTTTAAAGGTTTGATTTAGTATCCTAAGAGACAGTAAAAAGGTAACACAGCAGAAAATCAGAACAGGTTCCTATGAAGAAGAGATGCCAAGAGAAAAAGAAAGAGTTCTTGAAAATTAAAAATGAAACTGAAAAGAAATTAATAGTAAGGATAGAAGATAAAGCGAAAAAGACAATAAGATTAAAAATGTAAGAAAAAGGCTAAAATCAAGAAGATCAACCTAAGAGGTAAACCTAACAGGAAATTTGAAAAGAGAGAATAGAAAAAAATGTACAGAACAGGAAGAAAGAATAAGTATTTTGAAATGTCCCAGAGTTGAAGGACCCAAGTTTTCACACTAAAAGGACCAGGTGCCAAGCTGAACAATGAATAAGGAAGACTGAAGAAGAACTGACGCCTTTGAGGTGCAGTGTTGGTGAAGAATATTGAATATACCATGGACTACCAAAAGAACGAACAAATCTGTCTAGGAACAAGTACAACCAGAATGCTCCTTAGAAGCAAAGATGGCGAGACTACGTCTCACATACTTTGGACATGTTATCAGGAGGGATCAGTTCCTGGGGAAGGACATCATGCTTAGTAAAGAAGAGGGTCAGCGAGAAAGAGGAAGTCCCTCAACAGGATGCATTGACATAACAACGGGCTCAAGCACAACTATTGTGAGGATGGCGCAGGACCAGGCAGTGTTTTGTTCTGTTGTACACAGGGTCGCTATGAGTTGGAACTGACTCGACGGCACCTAACAACAACAAGAAGCAGCAGGATAAGTAAAAAAGTACCCCTGGATAAGTACACTTATGAAATTTTAGAACTATGTGGATGAGAAATAAATTCTAAAACTTTCAAACCTTCACACACGCACAAAAAATGATACAGCGGAGAGGCAACATAACACAGTGATTAATAACGAACTCTGGAGCCAGTTGCCTGGGTTCAAATCTTAGCCAATCACTTTCTTGAACTTACCCTCTCAGGGTCTCATCTGTAAAAATGTGAGCAGTAAGAGAGAATACCTCATACAGAATAGTAATGAGGGTTACATAAGTTAATAATATTGCCATTCCTTTTCTTTTCTGAGTGTTGTTTGCTTGATATATTTTTTTTTCCTCCTTTGAGTTTTAGTTTGTTTGTGTCTTTAAGTCTAAGGTGTGTCTCTTGCAGGATCATATTTTTTTTTTAATCCAATCTGCCACTCTCTATCTCTTTATTGGTGCATTTAGTCCATTTACATTCTACGTAATTATTGATAGGTATGAGTTTAGTGCTGTCATTTTGATGTCTTTTTTTGTGTGTTGTTCACTGTTTCTTTGTTCCACTTAATTTTCTGTGCTGAGTCGTTTATCTTTATGTATTTTCTATTCATCTTTTTCAGTGTTGTTGATTTTCTGTTTGCTGACTCTTTATATTTTTCTAGCTTTTTATTTGACTTGTAGGATTGTTAGTTTCCTTTGTGGTTACCTTAATATTTACCTCTATTTTTCTAAGTTTATACCAGTCTTTTATTTCTTTATATCACCTTGACTTCCTCTCCATATGAGAAGTCTATGTCTACATTTTTTAAGTCCCTCTTTTTTGTTTCAATGTTGTCATCTTTTACATATTGACATCTGTTTCTCTATTTTCAGTGTTTTAGCTTTGATCTACTTTTGTGACTTCCCTATCTGGGTTGATATCTGGTTGCTCTGTCCTGTGTTCTAGTCTTGGGTTGTTATCTGTTCTTACTAATTTTCTAACTGGAGGCCTCCCTTTAGTATTTCTTGTAATTTTGGTTTGGTTTTTACACAGCCTGCATGGGTTCTCCTGAGTAGTCCGAGCTTAGTCTTGTTGATTCTCCTTTGTAGATGACTTTTTGTTTATCCCTAGCCACTCTTAAAATTCTCTCTTTATCTTTGGTTTTGGCAAGTTTGATTATAATATGTCTTGGTGACTTTCTTTTGGGATCTACCTCATGTGGGGTTCAGTGAGCATCGGGTAGATATCTTCTCATCTTTCACGATATCAGGGAAGTTTTCTGCCAACAAATCTTCAACAATTCTCTCTGTATTTTCTGTTATCCCCCCTCTTCTGGTACTCCAATCACTGGTAGGTTATTCCTCTTGATAGAGTCCCAAATAATTCTTAGGGTTTCTTTTCAGTTTTTTGAATCCTTTTGTCTGATTTTTCTTCAAATAAGTTGGTGTCAAGTGCTTTATCTTCAGTCTCACCAATTCTGACTTTCATTGCCTCAATTCTGCTCCTATGACTTTCTACAGAGTTGTCTAATTCTGAAATTTTATTGTTAATCTTCTCAATTTCTGATTGCTGCCTCTCTATGGATTCTTGCAGCTGGTTAAATTTGTCATTATGCTCTTCTCTCATCTTCTTAAGTTCCTCTGTTGTGTGTTCTGCATTTTGCTTAATTTCCTTCCTAATTTCTTGAAGAGTTCTGTATATTAATCTTTTGTACTCTGCCTCCTGTAATTCCAAGAAATTTTCCTCCTTTGGAAAATTCTGGATTCTTTATTTTGGGAGCTTGTTGAAGCCATCATGGATTGCCTCTTTATGTGATTTGATATTGACTGCTGTCTCCGAGCCATCAATAAGTTATTATATTTATTTATTTTATGTTTGCTTACTGTGTCCTAGCTTCCTGTTTTGTTTTGATATGCCCAAATATGCTGCTCGTATGAGCTAGTTTAATTATTGGCACCTTTGAAGCTCTAATGTCCTGTCACCAGGTGGTTAGATCTGTTACTATGTATGTGAGCTCAGGAGTCTGCCCACTCCT